TAACTGCTAAAAAAAAAATGTGTACAAGAAATTGCTATTCCTTTGTCACTATAGAGTTTCATTGTTTCTGTTAGTAAATATATAGAATATGTTTATAGTGTGACACTCAGAACTAGCCATGTGCTTTATTCAACTGATCATCCAAACACAATGCTAAGGTAGGTACCCCTCTACATAACTCTAAACTGCTTCCTTCCAACCAAAGTGTGCCACCTAGGGTATGTCTACACTGCAAGTTTATTTTAAAATAGCGCATCCACACTACAGGGAAGCCTCAAAATTAGTCAGAGGCAGGCTCCCCTAATGTTGACACGCTATTTCAATTTAGATGCACTAGGGAGGAGCTATTTCGATAAAGCAGCAGCGGAAGTGTCCGCACACACCGTCTTCTGAAACAGCTTTTTTGGAAGAGACGTTATTCCTCGTGGAATGAGGTTTACCAACGTCAGAAAAACCCCTCAATTATTTTATTTTTTTTCGAAATAATGCAATTGCTGTGTGAATGCTAGTATTGTTTTTCTGGAATAAGGTGTAGTTATTCTGGAATAACGGTGCAGTGTAGAATGCACCCCTAGTTCACTCCACCCTAACCACTTACTGATTCTATTCACCTTCTCATCTTGGAGCACATTAGGGATGTAAAATCCTATTTAATTGGCTAACGGGGTAAACATATTGTTACCGCCACAGCCCTAGAGCACACCTCTTCCCTTTGCAGCAGAAACTCCTTGTGGAACCTCAAACAATATCAGGGTGGGATTATGCCCATGAAACAACAGAGGAGAGGCATACAAACCAGGATTTTGGATCTGAGATTCTTGAACTTTGGGGAAATTTGAGACTGTATCCAACCTTCAGGCCAATGACTAGTTTTATTACACAGTGAGAAGACCCTTTTGTCCCTGTGAGGAGTTCATGTGATCCTGATTCTCTCCACCCCACCTGGGAGAGAGGAGTCCTTTTCAGGAGCCTAAGGGAAGGGTGACAAGTAGTTGCTCTAATTTATGGAAGTGTAAATTAAAAAGTCCATTCTGGTTGAAGGGTGATTGATGCTTTGTGGAGAAAATATTGCTCTGCAAGCCTCCAGAAGGAACTTCAATGTACTTTTTGTGGTTTATTTTCTGTAATGAAACTTTTTGCCAAAAGAGCTGCAGGAACTGAAGTTTTTGAGGTGTGGGCTTTTCTTTGGTAGATTATCTTAAAATGAAATCTCAAAGGCTAAGTTCTCTGCAGTTGTGACTCCATGGCACAGTCCATTAGGGTTATGCTAGCAGATGATCTGGCCCTAAGCCTCTGCCTCAGAAGAGCCAAATGAGAGTCTTTTGTGGCTTTGTGGCTTGGACTGTGGCTCCCAGCTCTGCCAGACACAGACCCTGGGAAGTTCAGAGATGCATCAAACACTGAGCCTCTGAATGATTTCTGAGCTTAATTAAAATGCAAGTTTAATGCCGGTTCAATATTGTGATGAAAACTAACTACATAGTCAATGACCCTCTAATGCAGCTGTTTTCAGCCACTGAGAAGCAGTAACAAATGTGACGTTTGAGGTTTTGAGAACTGGTACGCTGGGTTCCCTCTAACCATCTCAATAGCTAGGCGCTAGTCCATTTTCTTGCCTGATTCCCAGTCAATAGCTCATTCCAAAAGACTGGAGCCTATCGAAATCTTTTGCATGAAAAAGAGGGGCTTTTTTGTGGGAAAATTCCCCTTTTTTTAAAAAAACCAAAGCTTTAAAAAAAAAAAAAGACTATCAAAATTTTAACTTTTTTTTTCATTTACCAGAAAATTGTTTTTGAAACAAATTTTAATAAAAATTTCAAAAATAGTTGAATTTGATATAAATGTGGTTAGAATAATCATAAAGCAATTCATAAAAAACAGATGAGTTAGTTTAGAACCCCAGAAAAGGGAACAACCTCAATTTTTTTTTCAATATTGTTTTTCCCATTTTTTTTTAAACCAAGCATAACATTTTCAAAAGCATTAAGTAACTTAGGAGACTAAGTCCCATTTTCCAAAGTGATATAAAGCATTTTGGAGTCCAAGTCCTATTGATTTTTAATGAGAATTAGAGATCCTTAGTGCCTATGTCACTTTTGAAAATGTGCTTTTGAAAATTTTGCCACTGCTCTGAAAGACACAATGGGGCTTGGGATACTCCAATGACCAGTTTCACCACTCAATGGGAGGCAGTGAACAGTAGCTGGTACCAGCTAGCACATATTAAATGGAAGTCTGGCAAACTGGTATTGTTGCCCACCAAAATGTTTGGAACCATTGTGCTAGCTAGAGTAATGTCATATGTGGGCACCAAGAGCAGATGGTGACCACAGGCTTACAGCACATTATTAACCTGTATCAATATTAGATGTACCTTGTTGTCAGCATCAATATTAATTTCTGATGGCAGGACTGTCATTGAAGGACACTGCTGCACTCCCTCACTTGCACTCGTCCAGAAATTTGGCTGAGTGGAATTAACACACTCATGCTCCAGAGAACACCTGAAACAAACAGAAGCACAACTTAGGGTGGGATGCCTATTAAGTACTGATATAACTGTTGTAATAATTATGAAAAAGGGCCTGTAGAAATCTGGACACTTCCTCTCATTTCTCCAACTTCTGTGTTTCAGTCAATTGTGTGACTGCTAGAGTTAATAGGTAGTGTCCTCGCATTATCAACACACCACTCCTACTGGCATCAATGGGCAATGTGTGTGTGTGATGGGAAAAGATTCTCCCACAATGACTGAATGCAAAGCAAGACAAATATAGCTGTACTAGTGTGTTTGGTCAAAAATCCTGGACCTGATTTGTAAAGTCAGGGCCTAATTTTGCAGCTAATTTCTGGTAGGGATGTAAGCATGTAGTTGAGTACTTGACTACCCAATAAGCCTAAGCTTATCGGGTAGTCGAGTTGCGTACTCTACTGCTTGCTTCCCCCCACCTTGCTGCCTCTGATACAGAGGCAGCAAAGGAGGGGCGGAGGGACAGGAGCTGGTGCTGGAGTGGAGCCAGTTTAAAAACCTGTTTCCCCCAGTACTGTTGCCATGGTGATATCTGTCGCCTCCCCCACACTGCCTCTATCAGAGGTAATTAAAATGCAAAGCAGCCTCTGCCCAAGGCAGGCTGAAGCTTGCAGCAGGCAGAGGCTGCTCTAACAGCAGCCTTTATCCTTGGGGGTTCCCTGCCAGAAGCTGGGCTCCCCTGCGGACAGGGGCTGCCGTCGTGAAGCAGCGCCTGCCCGCAGCCACCTGGGCTCTTACTATATTTAAAAGGCAGTGCCACAATGGTCCCAGGAGCTACCCCCACTGCAGCTCTGCATTTTAAATGTTGTAAGACTTGGGCAGCTTTTACTACCTTTAAAATGCAGAGCCACAGCGGTCCTGGCTCTGTCTTGGCTCATGCTGGTCTGGGACCTAACCCCGCTGAAACTCTGCAGTTTAAAGGTAGGAGGAGCCAGGCTGCATGCACACCCAGCTCCTTCTACATTTAAACTGCCGAGCTGCTGAGGGGGTAGCTCCTGGACCAGTGTGAGCTGGGACAGAGCACCTTCCCTTATCAATTAATCGTGTGGTCAATACGAACTGTGTTGACTATACGATTAGTCAATTATCCATCTCTTAACATCCTTAGCTTCTGGATATATATTGAATTTTCCCACAAGTAACTGCAGCTGCCAATGATGGGACTGAGCTTTCTAACTAGCTGTTTGCGCTCTCAATCAAATGATTAGATGACTAACACTTCTTCTTTGCATTCACAATTAGCTGCAGGCATTAAAATGCAGATGCAATTAAGTGTAAGCAAAAAAGTACACTCCCAGAGCTTGAAACTGGGCTGAGACATCCTTAAAAGGATTGTCCTCTATATAGTAAAAATCAGGCAAAGGTTGTAAGCAAGCATAGCTGTGCAGCAAACCAGCAATCTGCTGAAACTCTGAGCAAGAGGTCTAAAGACAATCACTCGAAAGAAAATACAAGAAGTTCTACCTGGTCTCCATTGTGCACCATCCACAATAAGCATCAGCTGCAGCCAGACACTCCGTACATGTTGCATACTGGTCACAGGCAGCCACTTTCACGCGGGTCATCTATGCAACAAGCAAAGTCCAAGGTCACTGTCATTCCCAAGACATCACTTTTTAACAATGGAAAGGAAACTTCTTGTTGACACTAATGAGGCATTCATGAGATTCACGTGGTGAAGCATGTGCACAGTAGATTAGATAATGTATTAGGAAATGTAATAAGGGGCAACAATCCTGTCCTGGCAGGGACATGGGTTACACTTTTCCATCACTCCAACTTATGGTTCTGTGAGTAATGGGAGCACTATGTACGAACAGAAGATTATCTGTCTCTGTTTCTTATAAGCCAGCATCTTCGACATAGCTGCAAGACAAGGTCAGTAACATTATAAAATACATTATAAACTCCTATGATGGTTTAGATGGGACCAGTTTTTTCACTATTGCATTGCACATTATTTGGGTCATGGGAATCTCAAGATTTCATACTTGCCAGACCCCTTCTAGAAAGGGATGAACAATGTCTGTCTATTTATGAAGTGATCAGAATTTACCTAGGAATACAAAATCATTCATGTGTAGGGACATATGATTCCTGGAATAGCAAGTAATTCAGCAGTATCTGTGGTGACTTCCTTAACTACCCGATAAGCTTAGGCTGATAAAGAGGCAGCAAGGGGGGAGGGAAGAGTAGTTGAGTACTTGACTCAACTACCCGATAAACTTAGGTATCAGAGGCAGCATGGAGGGGTAGGGGGAACAGGAGACAGTGCTGGGGGGAGGTGGCTTAAAAGCTGGTTCCCCCCAGCACCGTCTCCGTGGTGCCACCTGCTCTCTCACCCCCTGCTGCTGCCTCCATCAGCAGCCCCTGTTTGAGGTGGCCCCAGCTGGCCATTGACAGGGTCTGCTTCCAGAGCAGCCTCTGCCTGCAGCCAGCCCAGGCTGCCACAAACAGAGGCTGCTGGACCTGGCATAAGCTGGGACCAAGCAGTCCCGGATCATGCTGGCTCCAGGACCGCTGCAGCTCTAACTTTTAAATGTAGTAAAAAAGCCAGGTGGCTCTTACTACGTTTAAGAGGCAGAGCTGCAGTGGTTCTGAAGCTGATGTGAGCTGAGACTGCTCAGTCCTGGCTCACATTGATTCTGGGAGCTACTCCCGCTACAGCTCTGCTCAGTGCCTCTCCTTATCGACTAATCGTGTAGGCGATACAATTTGTATCAACTACACTATTAGTCAAATACCCGCTCCTTAACATCCATTGTAAGAACCACTTGGAGGGGGAGAATGCAGTCATTCGTATGCTTCTTTTCCTAGATTTCAAAACATTTGAAAAAGAGGACTGCGAGGAACTAGATAATTTGGAGTTTGACAATGCAAGGTGCTGAGAGCCATCTGTTCCCATAAGGCATTCAGCAGCATCTCAAACAATCAGACACCTGGTCCAGTTTCTCTCAAACACATGTTGTGCACAGCTTCCACACATGCTTGTCAAGATTCCCAAAATGTGAATTCCACTGGCAAAAGGAATTGATCAGGCCTAATTTAAAGGAAAGAGCCATGCTATTTGAACTGAAGTACTGCACATGGGGTTTTAGTCAGCCCAGGATAAGGTTCACAGCAGGTATCTTGTTGTGCTCCAAAGTGTTTGTGAGGCCTCTAAAAGGTATGAGATATTAGCTAGACAGGCACCCTGGGAGAGTTCTGTGACACGATAATGGCTGAGCTGCAGGGAATTATAGCTGGAAAATATAAATACAACATATAAAATTAGTGGTTGAGCATCTGTTTCAACAAATTAAAATGTAATTCAGGACAGACCACCAGGGCTTGGAGCAAAATGTGAACTCTATTCCTCCTCAGCTGTTCATTTAATAGAAGGCTAAGAGAAACCATTTGTTTCTTCCTGCTGTGGAATTTTCAGGCCTCTCCAAAAAGAAAGCCTACCATGCTGGAAAGTGCTGGCCTATGAGTTACAGGGTGTGAATTTTTAGGTACAGTGAAACCTGCCACGAGGGCCAGTTACAACAGGCAAACCCTTTTCTTCAGTAGCCCTTTAAAAATATTTCCATCGTTTCTAGTACAATTTTATTCAACTTTCAGTTAACAATCAAGATATACTTATTTTTGCCAGCTTTGTCTTGCGTAAGGCATATTTTGCTGTAGCTTTCAATTTTATTTGCACAGAAATGGGTGAACTAGTTGAGATAACAGGAACCAACGTAAACCCTGGCCATAAACTCCAAATAATCATTCTGAGGTTTGAAAAATTTTGGTTAACTTTTTAGTCATTTCGACTAAAAGTGGAGCTGACATGAATCATGCATCCAATCCCTTTGATGCTGTGGAAAGTTCAGTTCTGGAACTATATTTTGCAGCTGGATCTTGTCTCAGAAATGGGTTGATGCAAACCTTCGTATCCAAATACCCCCACATTTGGGGTGCATCTAGACTACATGGCTCTGTTGACGGAGCCATGTGAAGTAGTTTACTTGGCATAGTCAAAGAAGCGGGGATTTAAATAATGGCCGCCACGCTGTGCCGACAATTAGCTGATCCGGCACAGCGTGATGGTCTGGACGCGGTGCGGTTGACAAGGGAAGCCTTTGTCGACCACTCCAGTATGCCTCGTGAAACGGAGCCTGGGATCAGCTGGGGAGTCCCTCTGAAATGCCGCCTTGGGGTTTCAAAGCGGCAGCGCCATACAGCTGTGCAGCACTGCCACTTTGAAGTACCCCTTCCTCCCCCCCTTTGCTGCCTCTGTCTCATAGAGGCAGTGGGGGGAGAGGATATCGACTAGTCAAAAGACTACCCGATAAGCAAATGCTTATCAGATAGTTGACTAGTCTTTAATATCCCTACTGTAGACCCAAAATAAAAGGCTTGATCTAAATTTTGAAATGATTCTTGACTGGCGCCAACCACTGAATCTTTTCAAGTATGTGCATTACTGGTATTAAAAAGAACATTTCTGTTGCTCTGTTTCCTAAACGAGTGCTGACTGAAAATATCAAATGAATGCACTTTGCCAAATGTATAGAGAACAGATGTCCTACCTGATATGATGTCATGAGATAGAGGTAGCTGGAATCTGAAGGATCAAACTGCATGATGGGATGAACAGGCTCCCCATAAGCCACTGAAACTGATTTCCTGCTAATAATCTCCTTGGTACTGTTCAGATTAATCTACAGTGCGAAAGAACCATTTGTTAAGATGAAACATTGTTATGAGGGAGATGCTTTTCTCACTCTTTTTATAAACTCAGAAGCAAAATTAAACTTCAAACATGTAGGCAAATCAATTATCATTACAGGTTTCACCTCTATAAATTGGAACTCTCTGGTCTGGCAACATCTCTGGTCTGGCAGGACCACAGATATTCCCCTATTCAGACCACAGAGAGTCCTGGTGTGTTGCGGGGGGTTTGAGGGCCGGAAGCCTGGCGAATATGATGGAGGCAGGATTCTGGTGCACAGCCCAGCTGGCTGGGGGAGGGGAGGTGGGAAGCCCAGCATGCGTGCAACCCAGCTGGGCTGTCCAGCTCACCTTGGCTATGGGGGGTGGGAAGCTGGAAAGGCCAGCGTGGGGCCCAGCTGGGTGGGAGAAGAGTCACGGGGGGCAGGAAGCCTGGCATGTGACCCAGTTGTGCTGCTGGGGGAGCTAGGAAGCCCGTGGGGCAGCAGGGCAGGGAATGGGGCTGACAGGAGGAGGGCCAGAATTGACCAGCAAAATCCTTCATCCGTGACCAATCAGGTCTCTAGGGTGCCAGACCAGGGAGGTCCAACCTGTATCACCAACATATTGGAAAACTATTTCACTCCCAAATCTTTATTAAAACAGTTATGCTCAGAAAAGTGTTATTTGCATGACAGCAGCATTCAAAGGCCCCATTGTACTAGGCAACGTACCCTGCAAGGAGCTAACTAAATACAGTAAAACTCCATTGGTCTGGCATCTGACGGTCCGGCACTCCTGATGGTCCGGCACCATCAGGAACCCGGAAGTGCTCTGCAGCCGGACCATTGGAGCTGCTCTGCCTCCAGCTTCCCCTATTCAGCTGCTGCTAAAACTGACCAGCGGCTGCCTTGGGGAAGCCCGAGGCAGAGCAGCGCGGGCGGCGCAGGGGG